TCTTTTTATTCTAAAAAACTTCCTTAACATGATGCAGCCACCATGGTTGAAAATATGAGGACTGATACACAGTGATGTGTTGTGTTAGATTTGCCCCAAACATAACGCTTTGTATTCAGGACATAAAGTACATTTCTTTTTAAGTTTCACTTTAGTGGCTTATTGGGAAAGGGGATACCAAGTCAGTTACACAACTGAATGCATTCAACCAAAATGTATCTTCCGCATTTAACCCAACCCCTCTGAATCAGAGAGGTGCGGGGGGGCTGCCTTAACCAACTTCATCAGCGCCCAGGGAGCAGTTGTTGCTCCAGGGCAGAACAACAGATTTTTACCTTGTCGGCTCTGGGATTCAATCCAGCAACCTTCCGGATACTGGCCCAATGCTCCTACCCGCCAGGCTACCAGGATGCATGTTTTGTAATATTTGTATTCTCTACAGGCTTCCATCTTTTCACTCTGTCATTTTGGTTAGTATTGTGGAGTAACTACGTTGTTGATCCATCCTCAGTTTTCTCCTATCACAGCCATTAAACTCTGTACATGTTTTAAAGTCACCATGGTGAAATCCCTGAGCGGTTTCCTTCCTCTCCGGCAACTGAGTTAGGAATGATGTCTGTATCTTTGTAGTGACTGGGTGTATTGATACACCATCCAAAGTGTAATTAATAACTGCACCATGCTCAAAGGGATATTCAATGTCTGCTTTAAAAAATATATTTACCCACCTACCAATGGTGCCCTTCTTTGCGAGGCATTGGAAAACCTCCCTGGTCTGTAGTTGAATCTGTGTTTGAAATTCACTGCTCTAACATACAGTTTTAGTGAGTGCATACATTTTTCATACTGGCCCCCCGTGGGAATTGAACCCACAACACTGGTGTTGCAAGCGCCATGCTCTACCAACTGAGCTACAGGAGGCCCTATATATATATAGAGTCCATTCAACTTATTATGTATCTTCTACACACATTTTTACTCCTGAACTTATTTAGGCCATAACAAAGGGGTTCAATACTTGTTGACTCAAAGCATTTCAGCTTTTCATTTTTTATTAATTTGAAAAAATAAACATAATTCCACTTTGACATTATGGGGTATTGTGTGTAGGCCAGTGACACAAAATTCAGGCTATAACACAACAAAATGTGGAAAATGTCAAGGGGTGTGAATACTTTCTGAATGCACTGTATACACTATATATACAAAAGTATGTGGACACCCCTTCAAATTAGTGGATTCGACTATTTCAGCCACACATGTTGCTGATAGGTGTATAAAATTGAGCACACAGCCATGCAATCTCCATAGACAAACATTGGCAGTAGAATGGCCTTACTGAAGAGCTTAGTGACTTTCAACGTGGCACCGTCATAGGATGACACCGTTCCAACAAGTCAATTTGTCAAATTTCGGCCCTGCTAGAGCTGCTCCGGTAAGTGCTGTTATTGTGAAGTGGAAACGTCTAGGAGCAACAACGGCTCAGTTGTGAAGTGGTAGGCCACACAAGCTCACAGAACAGGACAACTGAGTGCTGAAGCGCGTAGCACGTAGAAATCGTCTCTCCTCGGTTGCAACACTCACTACCGAGTTCCAAACTGCCTCTGGAAGCAATGTCAGCACAATAACTGTTCGTCGGGAACTTCATGAAATGGGTTTCCATGGCCGAGCAGCCACACACAAGCCTAAGATCACCATGCGCAATGCCAAGCATTGGATGGAGTGGTGTAAAGCTTGCCGCCATTGGACTTTGGAGCAGTGAAAACAAGTTCTCTGGAATGATGAATCATGCTTCACCATCTGGTAGTCCAACGGATGAATCTGTGTTTGGTGGATGCCAGGAGAACGCTACGATGCCCGAATGCATAGAGCCAACTGTAAAGTTTGGTGGATTAGGAATAATAGTCTGGGGCTGTTTCATGGTTGGGCTAGGCCACTTTGTTCCAGTGAAAGGAAATCTTAACGCTACAGCATACAATGACATTCTAGATGATACTGTGCTTCCAACTTTGTGGCAACAGTTTGGGGAAAGCCCTTTCCTGTTTCAGCATGACAATGCTCCCGTGCACAAAGCGAGGTCCATACAGAAAAGGTTTGTTGAGATCGGTGTGGAAGAGCTTGACTGGCCTGCACAGAGCCCTGACCTCAACCCCATCGAACATCTTTGGGATAAATTGGAACGCCGACTGCGAGCCAGGCCTAATCTCCCAACATCAGTGTCCGACCTCACTAATGCTCTTGGGGCTGAATGGAAGCAAGTCCCCGCAGCAATGTTCCGACATCTAGTGGAAAGCCTTCCCAGAAGAGTGGAGGATGTTATAGCAGCAAAAGGGGGACCAACTCCATATTAATGCTGATGACTTTGGAATGAGATGTTCGACGAGCAGGTGTACATATACTTTTGGTCATGTAGTGTATGTTGTATGTGATATATTATATTGGTCTGAGCTAAACTTGGAACCTGACATTGACACTTTGGGCCTGTGGAAGCTTATAGGGAAAATCCACTCAAAAACTATATTTTGGTATTTTCTTCCATTAGTCCACTGTTGCTACATTCCCAAAATGTTTTGCATGTCAGCAGTCAAGTTTTCAAGATATTGGACTTTCAAGAAGCAAAATGTCACCGGCCACATCATCATGATGATGATGCAAGATGCAAAAGTTGACAGCTGACATGCAAAACATGTTTTGACTCTATCAACAGTGGACTAATGAAAAAAAATACCAAAAGATAGTTTTGGAATGAACTTTTCCTTTAAGGCTTGGCAAGTCACCCTTAGAAAAGAGGTGTCCTTCTGTCCAAATTAAAAGTAATGTCTTAATTCTCCAGTTTGTGGGATTTGTTCCTCTATATATACTCTGTGGCCAGGGCCATCTCCTAAAAGTACATTAGTTCATTTTTTGCAATGGAAGACATCACTACTGATAGTTGGCCATGTGGTTCAGAAATACTAAGAACCCACACTTGATCCAGACAAATGTCTATCAATATCATAGACACCAAACACATAAAAAAGCCCCCTGGTGTGACATAACATAACCTGGTTATCTCTCTATTTTTACCCTGTCGTTCACAACCCCATATCACCTCACCTCCCTTCCCCCACACCTCTATATTGGCAAGATTGACATTGGCCTCTAAGGCCTCGCAACGCCATGTGTTCGATGACTGTGGCCACAGCGTGTGACGCAAGTCCCCCATTAGGACCCCTGAATTTAATTAACACCCCTATAAGGGAAGGGGAGCGGGTAGTAGAGGTGGGTGTGGGGCTGAATCCAGCTGAGCTAGAGAACACCCCGACCCCACCCCTTGCTACATCTGCTGGGTTTGAGTTAACTCATTATAATGGGTGCTGATGCAGGGACTCTGCCTGGGATGTCACAGGGATGAGCTGAAACCTTTATCAGGGTGTGCTGGAGAAAATAACTGCTGTCATCTCACGCTGTGGGAATGGCTTATGGCTCTGCGACGCATTTACGGGTGAAGTTTGGTCATGGTTGTGAATTAGTTGACTGGGAAACATTGGAGAGGATTTCATTTGAAGATGCTCTGATTTGATGTCTCACAATCTTGTTCAACCATCAGATCACTTGTGATCAACCCTGCACAATGACCATTTTCTATACTTGCAAACATGATCACAAAGAACAGATTGTGCTTTTACAGTATGATCAGAATCAGTAGATTTATTACATTTTAGTCATTTAGCAGATACTCTTATCCAGAGCAACTTACAGGAGCAATTAGGGTTAAGTGCCTTGCTCAAGGGCACATCGACAGATTTTTTACCTAGCCGGCTCAGGGATTAGAACCAGCAACCTTTTGGTTACTGGCACAACGCTCTTAACCACTAAGCTACCTGCCGAAGGTTATGAGATATCTTGTAGTATTTGTCCTGCTGCAATCAATAGATGCGTCTACAGAATCCGTAACATGTCTCTGCTCAATAGTGTGGTATACGATGTATATCGTAAAAGACGATTGACTTGCACTATTTACGTATTTAGATGGGGCACACATGCCATTTGATAGAGTGCACATACTCAAACCTGGACCTCGAAGCCAGTTCCAATGTGTTTTTTCATTGTTCCCCTCAAATCAGGGATTGATTTAGACCTGAGACACCAGGTGGGTGCAATTAATTATCAGGTAGAACATAAAACCAGCAGGCTGCAGACCTTGTAGAGTAAGAGTTGAATACCCCTGGGATAGAGCATTGATACAGGCACATTTATGAACCATAGCATAGCCTTCACTAGAGATGAACCAGTCTTGGTTGTTATAGGGTTTGAAATGGTAGTTGAAGGTTCGGCTTAATGTGGATGTGAGGACGAGAGACATAGCCCGTTGTTAAACTATAGAAGTCCATGGTTCTTTAGGAGAATTGGCAAAAGCATAAATGTTATATGAAATTGTAAAGGTAAGTTAGGGTACACAGAGGACACTCTAATCAAGTGGAGTGGTCAACAGAAAGAAGAGAATGAAGAGAGGTGAGAACATTGTTATTAAAATTAAAGTCAAGGGCAAAAGTCATGGATGTGAGACCACTGCCTTACCAGGTGCTGGATGGAAGGGTGTGAAGGTGTGATATGATTGTGGTGGCGGTCAGAGGGAGGAGGGGACGGCTGTTGTTCTGCGGTTCACGGCTGTTTAGATGAGAAGAAAAGAGGGGGAGGGGGTTTCGCTATAGTTCAAATAAATGGATGCAAAAGTTCTCCATTAACTTAATGGTGCATCTCATCATGCAAGTTCAAGAGCAGGGGGCTTTGAGGGTGTGTCACTCTCTCACTCCCTTTTTCCTCCCCACCTCAACAGCTGGGAGAAAGGGAGCGGCCATCTCGAGGGGTCAGGTTGGGTCAGGGTTTTTTGAGTCTGTTCACCCCCAAAAAGATGAAGAAAATGGGGAAGACTTGCCATGCCAGCGGGGTCAACTTCGAGAGGGGAATGGGGTGATTCAGTGGCATGGGAAAGTCACCCCGGAGCCTTGGTGAAAGGGATGCAGGGATGCGGGGGGGTATTAGAGGGGCAGATGGCCCCCATAGAGGGGGGTGTGTTGGTTTATGGTGATGGGACTTTCTAGGGGGTTGTGGGAAAGTGGGGTAAGAACAAGTGTGAGTGTCGTCACTGCGCCATTGTCGCCGGTCTGCACTTGGTTTAATAGAAGTTCTCCTAACTTGACCCCACTAACCCTTGCTAGTCTTCTGCCTTCATCTCGGCCATTTGTCCTGCCCTCCTTGGCTCAATGACTCCCCGGCATTTGGCCCTATTATTGTGGCCGGTTTCGGTAAAAGTATTGTGGACACAGAACTATCACAGCCATCAATCAGTTGGCCGGTGTAGACTATCAAGTGCTTTTTTTGTGGTTGGAAGAGTTCGCCCCCAGGGCGAACGTGGCTGTCTGTCTCTATTCCGGTCCCGTTCTGTATTGTTGTGTCTACGTCTTTGCTTGTAAACACAGATACAGAGGGCATGGGATGGGAAACTTGGTGTATGAATGGATTAGAGACAGGCAAGGCTCCAGCCATGACATGCTCAGTGCCCCAGTACATAGTAATGTGAGGTGTAGTTTACAAGTTCAGTTTGAATTTTTTCCTTTACTGGATTGTCCCATAAGGTTCGAATATCAAGCTCCCTTACTGGTCCGTCCCCCTTACCTCATCTTATAGTGATTGGGTGGATTGGTACTTTATGGGTAAACTATATAGCCAACATTGAGTTCCTTTGGGAATTCACTTATAGTGGGTGATTCGATAAACACATGCAATAGCATCACCAGTGTTCACAATAGTAAACACAGTTATCATCATTATCCTGGACTACATGACATAATTTATCCCCGCTGTACTGGTCTACAAAATGAACCAACACTGATGTTCTCAACCCTAACTGCCAATGATCTTCTTCCCCCCTTTTCTAGATGTCTGTGGTGCCAAGGAGCTGGCGTTCCTATTGGAGCCCAGTGACATCATCGCTGTGCGGGATCGGCCGCTGATGCTGGACTGCCAGGTGGAGGGCGAGGGTACCATCTCGATCACGTGGCGCAGGAACGGGGTGCCCGTGGTAGTGGGGGAGCGGGTACAGATGCTGCCCAATGGGACCCTCTTCATCCAGAGCTTCCAGAAACGACTAGAGAGAGGCGGAAGTGAGACGGACGTTGGAGAGTATGACTGCGCCTCCCAGAACCGCTTTGGCATGCTGGTCAGCCGCAAGGCCCGGGTTCAGCTTGCATGTGAGTTCCCCTCCCTTACATACTGTTTTACGGTTACCTAGTATAATTTATGTAATGGCGACCTATGTAACAGTCGCCTACATAACAGTCACTTATGTAGAGAGAATATCCCACACTCAATGCACATACAATACACAGAAAACACTTCACCAATCTATCAATACACAACATAAGATAGCATAGTATTGAGTATTAAGGGAAATGGTTCATTTGCTCTTGCTGGCATAGTTACTCTCCACCAGCCAACCACTACTGGTGCTAATTTTACTTAGAAATACAGTAGCTAAAAAACTCATTTTCAAGACTATATCAATACAAAGATTACACATCTTGAGTTATGACCGAGGCGCCATTTTACAAATAACCTAAATACGCTTTCATTACCAGTCAAGGGAAAAATATAAATAAGAGTTACATAATACATATACATGATTGCCCAGTACATAAACCGTAGTTTTAGAGTAGCCTTGAATATCCACATATTGTTTGAGCATGGTTTGCCAGCACTCTTATGCCATGTACACATTGTGACGTATTTCATTACTCCGTACGTCATCTTCACGGAATCTTGCCCCGCTACTGAATGGACAAGTGTAGTGTATGTAACGCAAGATAGAGGAAAGCCTGTCTCTCGTCAGAGATTTATTTTGGGAGAATGCAAAATATGACCTTTTCATTCAAGACAGGATAAATATATTGTTTCAGGTAATAATAAAACATGTTTTGTTTAGTTACTATTTCCCCCTCAAGTTGTTACTTTATAGCAAGTCAAGCTAGCTTGCACTGCATAGCAGCTACCTAGCTAAAGGCTAGGTTGAAGATACCATTGTAGTTAGCGACCTCCACCTAATAATTATCATAAAAAAACAAACGTCATTACCATCACAATAAACTTAAACGGGAGGCAACAGTCATAATATAATTGGCCTAACAGCCGATGTGTATTATTTAACATTACTATTAAAGTAGTACTCACTTATAGGAATGGGTAATTGTTTATAAGTTGCTAGCTATCCCATAAAGCCATCACCAAAACCCACATATTTTTACCATCTTCTGTTGTTTGGTGACTTCCTGTTCTTCGACGGACTCGATTTGGAAAATTTCAAAGTAGGCCTATGCGGCGTCTGTCTCGCAACGGAGCCTTCAACCTAAAGGGGGCGTTGCAATCCCACTCTGTTGTGGACGTCCCCATTGAAATGCATGACATCCGGCGCAACGTAATGGAGTGCTTATGGGTAAGGTGAACGAGGCTTTACAATTAGTAATATATTCAATGTGTAGCCTAGCTACACAAACACATGATTAGTCAATAATATTCCCTTCTGAATGTGATTTAGAGAGAACCAGCAGCGAATGTTACCAGGTCCTCCCCCTCACTCCAGGGTAATGCTACAGAAGTCATAGAAATTGTGGAGAGGCCAAAGAATGGCTTTTGTCCTATCTATGGGAGATCACTACATGTAGTCCCCTCTCTGTCAAAACAGGCAATATATTCTGTTCTTAATGATGAACCATACTGCGAACACCTTTGTCGCATACCTGGCAACCCAAGACCCCCTCGGACTCTATAGACTCTGTTATAAATTATGCTCCCTGCTGAGAACACCTTAGTTGCATACCTGGCAACCCGAGACCACCTCAGACTCTTTCACCTCTTGTGTTTCTTTGAGGCACTGTGGGTGATGAATGGTACACCCCCACTAAGTGTACTGACACGTGGACACACACAAAACACACACACAAAAAACATAGTGTTCAGACAAGATTTAAGATGAGATAAAATGTAAGATAAACACACTGCAATTCTGCTGGGTTTTTCACACTCAACACTTTCCCGTGTGTATCAAGAATGGTCCACCACCCAAAGGACATCCATCCAACTTGACACAACTGTGGGAAGCATTGGAGTCAACATGGGCCAGCATCCCTGTGGAAATCATTTGACACTTTGTAGAGTCCATGCCCCAATGAATTGAGGCTGTTCTGGGGGCAAAAGTGGGGGGAATGTGTTCTTAATGTTTTGTACACTCAGTATATATTTTTGTATAATATTGTTGACTCTGCTGCTCATCTTGGACCAGGTCTCCTCTTGCAAAATAGAGATTTTATCTCAATGAGACTAAGCTGGGTCAATAAATGTTCAATGGAGATATAACTTTTGTTGTTCTTTCTTCCTCAGTTCTCCCTAAGTTCCATACCCACCCAGAGTCCATGTCAGTGGACGATGGCGGAGTGGCTCGCTTCAAGTGCCAGGTCAACAGTGTGCCTGAAGCCAACATCACCTGGGAGAGGGACAGGATCCCACTCAGTACCACCGACAACAGGTACCATCATCATAATATATAGGCCAATACACTCACTCACACGCACACAGACATTTCATAAAATGAGTTATTGTTGGATGATTGCTAATGAACTTGGCGCTTGGCGTCACCCTGCAAGAGAGTTTGAAATATTAGCGATGTAGCTACCTTGCTGCAGACAGGCATTTTGAAAAAGTAGCTAACTTTTACATTCTCAGAATAACTACAGTGCCTTGCAAAAGTATTCATCCCCTTGGCATTTTTCCTATTTTGTTGCATTACAACCTGTAATTTAAATGGATTTTTATTTGGATTTCATATAATGGACATACACAAAATAGTCCAAATTGGTGGAGTGAAATGAGAAAAATAACTTGTTGAAAAAAATTCTAACAAACTAATAATGGAAAAGTGGTGCGTGCATATATATTCACCCCCTTTGCTATGAAGCCCCTAAATAAGATCTGGTGCAACCAAATACCTTCAGAAGTCACATAATTAGTTAAATAAAGTCCACCTGTGTGCAATCTAAGTGTCACATGATCTCAGTATATATATACACATGTTCTGAAAGGCCCCAGAGTCTGCAAAACCACTAAGCAAGGGGCACCACCAAGCAAGCGGCACCATGAAGACCAAGAAGCTCTCCAAACAGGTCAGGGACAAAGTTGTGGGGAAGTACAGATCAGGGTTGGGTTATAAAAAAATATCAGAAACTTTGAACATCCCACTGAGCACCATTAAATCCATTATAAAAAAATGGAAAGAATATGGCACCACAACAAAACTGCCAAGAGAGGGCCGCCCACCAAAACTCACGGACCAGGCAAGGAGGGCATTAATCAGAGAGGCAACAAAGAGACCAAAGATAACCCTGAAGGAGCTGCAAAGCTCCACAGTGGAGATTGGAGTATCTGTCCATAGGACCACTTTAAGCCATACACTCCACAGAGCTGGGCTTTACGGAAGAGTGGCAAGAAAAAAGCCATTGCTTAAAGAAAAAAATAAGCAAACACGTTTGGTGTTCGCCAAAAGGCATGTGGGAGACTCCCCAAACATATGGAAGAAGGTACTCTGGTCAGATGAGACTAAAATTGAGTTTTTTGGCCATCAAGGAAAACGCTATGTCTGGCGCAAACCCAACACCTCTCATCACCCCGAGAACACCATCCCCACAGTGAAGCATGGTGGTGGCAGCATCATGCTGTGGGGAGGTTTTTCATCGGCAGGGACTGGGAAACTGGTCAGAATTGAAGGAATGATGGATGACGCTAAATACAGGGAAATTCTTGAGGGAATCCTGTTTCAGTCTTCCAGAGATTTGAGACTGGGACGGAGGTTCACCTTCCAGCAGGACAATGACCCTAAACATACTGCTAAAGCAACACTTGAGTGGTTTCAGGGGAAACATTTAAATGTCTTGGAATGGCCTAGTCAAAGCCCAGACCTCAATCCAATTGAGAATCTGTGGTATGACTTAAAGATTGCTGTACACCAGCGGAACCCATCCAACTTGAAGGAGCTGGAGCAGTTTTGCCTTGAAGAATGGGCAAAAATCCCAGTGGCTAGATGTGCCAAGTTTTATAGAGACATACCCCAAGAGACTTGCAGCTGTAATTGCTGCAGAAGGTGGCTCTACAAAGTATTGACTTTGGGAGGGTGAATAGTTATGCACACTCAAGTTTTCAGTTTTTTTGTCTTATTTCTTGTTTGTTTCACAATAAAAAATATTTTGCATCTTCAAAGTGGTAGGCATGTTGTGTAAATCAAATGATACAAACCCCCCAAAAATCCATTTTAATTCCAGGTTGTAAGGCAACAAATAGGAAAAATGCCAAGGGGAGTGAATACTTTCGCAAGCCACTGTATATGTCACATCTACAGTATATGGGCACTCATACCTCTCTCAACCCCTCCCTCTCCCTTGTCCAGGTACACTCTCCTGCCCATGGGTATCCTCCAGGTGACTGGTGTGAGGCGGATTGACGCCGGGGTGTACCGTTGTATGGCCTCCAACATCGCCAACACACGCTTCAGCCACGAGGCTGTGCTCAATGTGACCGGTGAGTGGGAACGACCCCACTCACATTAAGCCTAGTCCTGTACTAAAAATCATGCTTAATGGCGACTCTCCATTGATAACGCATCTAATTCCAGGAATAGGCTTAATCTGTGTCTGGGAAACTAGCCCTTATAATATAGATCATATAATTAGAGGGACCTGGCAATAGTGTAGTTCCAATGGGTTTGTTCATGTTAGTTTTTTATCTATAATTTTAGTTGTTTGGGACACTCTAAAGAATACTAAACTGACCACAACTATGCTAATCACATAAATCTTGTTAAAAGCCCTATAGGCTAAAGCCAAAGTACGAACATGGTCTTATTCAGCCGAGGAAACTATCTTACAGTAGTGTCTTATTTCTCTTTCTCTTTGTGTGTGTGTTTGTGTCCTTTTCCTCTCTCTACAGGTGGGCCTTCCAGGATCTACAAGGAGCCAGTTATCCTCTCTGGGCCCCAGAACCTGACCATCACCGTCCACCAGACAGCCATTTTGGAGTGCATCGCCACAGGGAATCCCCGGCCCATCGTGTCCTGGAGCAGGCTGGGTAACGACTGTTCTCATGCAATCAGAATGGCATACAATGGCCTTAATTTCTACCACACTTAGATGAGTTAATGCTAGCAGCTAAACAATGAGTTGATCTCTGTATCAGCTATTCTGCGTATTATGCACTATGTTGCTCTACAGACGGGTTAGCTGAGAACGTCACAAAAACGATGCACACGCTTCAATGGGGCATTGTTGTTGCGAATATGGATGGCCAGATAGCTAGCAATAATGACAAGAAGCTGCCATGTGTGGAATCGTAAGTGGCTGGTTTCAGTTAGTTTTATTTTGTTCTTGATACCATGCCTTGTTTTGAATTGTTTTGACTGATGTCACGTCTATGCTAACATAACAAAAAATTGCTAGCAAGCTAACCAACCACTGTAACGATGGATTTGAGAGACAAGTGCTCATTGTGCAAATGTATTTATGTTTTCAATAAACATTGGAGACTAAATATAGTTTACTTGTTGTCAACAATCCAAGCCAAACCCGTTTTGCCCCATAGTTGTGCATGGGTCGATTTTGTTGCTAAACAAACTTGATTTTGAACCTTGTGTTTTTTGTATTATGTTGGCCTATGTCTTATTCCTTTGTGTGTGTGTGTGTGTGTACATTTGTGTGCTCTCTCCAGATGGGCGCTCCATCGGGGTGGAGGGCATCCAGGTGTTGGGCACTGGAAACCTGATGATCTCGGACGTGTCACTGCAGCACTCGGGGGTGTACGTGTGCGCCGCCAACCGCCCCGGGACTAGGATGAGGCGTACCGCGCTGGGAAGACTGGTGGTGCAAGGTGAGCTCCCTCCAAACACTTATACCCTTTTCACACTACTGTGCCGAAGTAAGCCGAGCCAAGCTGTACTGAGCTGGCCTGGTTTAGCATCCAATGTTTCTGGCACTGTGCTGGAAAAGACAATGTGAAAAGAAAATATCTGAGCCAGCAGAATACGGTTTAGGTCAACACAATAGTCTGAAAATGGTAATACTGTACCTGCCTCACCTCACTAAAAGGCAGAGCCTGAAGGCTGAATCAAAGTAAAGTTTAAATCATTCATTAGGAATTTATACAGTAAGTGAAATACTCCAAGAATGGCTTTCCATATCACAGTGAGCCTTAGCCAATGGTTCTATGGTTTCAGCCCAGTGCTGCTGATCACACTGATGAAGCTTTATCCTGGGTCAGTAACTGACTACCAACTGATCATGACACTGACGGATACACATGATCACAGGAGCAGGATGGGGGAGGGGGGTTAATGTCCACAAGGTGGGGTGGGGGTGGAGGTGTGTGGGTGTAGGGTTTGGGGTTTGGGCTTTTGGGACTGGCTGACCCCATCACATTAACCTGTATTGGATTTGGCCATGACTTCTGCCAGGGAAGGGATGGAAAAGGGGTGGGTTTGGGAGAGAGGAGTTGATACCCAAACTCCATCCTCTCACCTCACCTTTGCCCCCCTTAGAGCTTTGAAGGGGTGAGGTGGGGATGGGAGTTGGTCATTTTATTTGGTGACACTATTGACGTGAGAGAGACCCACTTGTCTCTCACTTGTAATTAAACATTGACGCTGGTCCAGCTCGACTTTGTGTGTGTGTGTGTATGTGTCCACTGCTGTCACTACCTCAGTGACAAGGCCCATCCATCACCCAGCAACTTTCCATACGTTCACCTTCCTCATATTTCTCACTTGTCATTACCCCCATTTTAACTGGCTATCCTAAGGGTTTCTCATTATACTGAGGACCCTACAAGGGTCTCAACACCTCTGGTTAATATGAGAGACCAACAACATAATAGGAAAAAAAAATCCTACCATAAACAACTATGGATAGGATTATATTAGAATGTAATCATGCGTTTTCTCTCCTGCCTCTCTAGAAGCGATAATCGCCACTAAATATGTAACTGATATATGCAATATATGGATGTTGATGTAATATATCTAACATTGCATTTGCACTTTCAAAGTCAATCAATATATTGAAATATCCGTATCTTTTCCTTAATGACCTAGCCAAATATACAGTGGGGAGAACAAGTATTTGATACACTGCCGATTTTGCAGGTTTTCCTACTTACAAAGCATGTAGAGGTCTGTAATTTTTATCATAGGTACACTTCAACTGTGAGAGACAGAATCTAAAACAAAAATCCAGAAAATCACATTGTATGATTTTTAAGTAATGAATTTGCATTTTATTGCATGACATAAGTATTTGATCACCTACCAACCAGTAAGAATTCCGGCTCTCACAGACATGTTCGTTTTTCTTTAAGAAGCCCTCCTGTTCTCCACTCATCACCTGTATTAACTGCACCTGTTTGAACTCATTACCTGTATAAAAGACACCTGTCCACACACTCAATCAAACAGACTCCAACCTCTCCACAATGGCCAAGACCAGAGAGCTGTGTAAGGACATCAGGGATAAAATTGTAGACCTGCACAAGGCTGGGATGGGCTACAGGACAATAGGCAAGCAGCTTGGTGAGAAGGCAACAACTGTTGGCTCAATTATTAGAAAATGGAAGAAGTTCTAGATGACGGTCAATCACCCTCGGTCTGGGGCTCCATGCAAGATCTCACCTCGTGGGGCATCAATGATCATGAGGAAGGTGAGGGATCAGCCCAGAACTACACGGCAGGACCTGGTCAATGACCTGAAGAGAGCTGGGACCACAGTCTCAAAGAAAACCATTAGTAACACATTACGCCGTCATGGATTAAAATCCTGCAGCGCACGCAAGGTCCCCCTGCTCAAGCCAGCGCATGTCCAGGCCCGTCTGAAGTTTGCCAATGACCATCTGGATGATCCAGAGGAGGAATGGGAGAAGGTCATGTGGTCTGATGAGACAAAAATATAGCTTTTTGGTCTAAACTCCACTTGCTGTGTTTGGAGGAAGAAGAAGGACGAGTACAACCCCAAGAACACCATCGCAACCTTGAAGCATGGAGGTGGAAACATCATTCTTTGGGGATGCTTTTCTGCAAAGGGGACAGGACGACTGCACCGTATTGAGGGGAGGATGTATGGGGCCATGTATCGCGAGATCTTGGCCAACAACCTCCTTCCCTCAGTAAGAGCATTGAAGATGGGTCGTGGCTGGGTCTTCGAGCATGACAACGACCCGAAACACACAGCCAGGGCAACTAAGGAGTGGCTCCGTAAGAAGCATCTCAAGGTCCTGGAGTGGCCTAGCCAGTCTCCAGACCTGAACCCAATAGAAAGTCTTTGGAGGGAGCTGAAAGTCCTTATTGCCCAGCGACAGCCCCGAAACCTGAAGGATCTGGAGAAGGTCTGTATGGAGGAGTGGGCCAAAATCCCTGCTGCAGTGTGTGCAAACCTGGTCAAGACCTACAGGAAACATATGATCTCTGTTATTGCAAACAAAGGTTTCTGTACCAAATATTAAGTTCTGCTTTTCTGATGTATCAAATACTTATGTCATGCAATAAAATGTAAATTCATTACTTAAAAACTTTTACATTGTGATTTTCTGGATTTTTGTTTTAGATTCTGTCTCTCACAGTTGAAGTGTACCTATGATAAAAATTACAGACCTCTACATGCTTTGTAAGTAGGAAAACCAGCAAAATCGGCAGTGTATCATATACTTGTTCTCCCCACTGTAGCTGGTTTGAAGGACTTATTACTATACCTAGTTACAATACCTGTGATAGAATAGCGTCCTGTTCAGTGGGTGTACTTGTACATAAAGCTGCCTTAGGCTCCTGCCCCTATGGCCGTTCTGGCTTGGACAAGGCTTGCTACAATAGCTAGTAGCTAGCAAACTGTTACAATACCTAGCTACCAACATGTTACCTAATGCCAAACAAAATGTAACCTATAGCAACAAAATGTTACCTAAACCTAGCTAGCCAAATATGACCTAGAAAGTATACTAGATCTCCATATATCCCTTCACCCCTGTAATCCATTTAAATCACTCTACTTTGCACCCAGCTGTTAAGGCTCTCCCCATCCATGTTGTGTCAGCCTCTTTGACCTGGTCAATCAATAGTTTTCCCTATCAGTCTTTCACAAGTGGATTGGCCATGGAGGAGGTGGTCTTTAATGTATTCATAATTTTTTTTTATTGATTTCTCTCTATTTGTTAAAGAAAAAAGAACAAAGAGCTTTTAGGATGGTGGTCACATGAAATGGGTGAAATTATTGGTTCATGGACATTGTCAATGTCAAATACAGGCCCAAAGTGACCTAAAGTCCCCCAATTCCCTTTCAAAATGTGATACTGGAGGTATATTCAGCTAGAATGTCCTCTCAATATTTGCTGATACTTGATACTGTTCTCAAAAGGTGTCTATAATACTGTTCTCAAAAAGTGGCTACAATCCACCACCATAGTATGGACTTAAATTTGCCATGTTGCATCCAATAATAACAATACAAACGTATTGGTTAGGCACAAATCATATAGAATAGCCATGGCCATGAAACTAATTACTTAACCTATTTTTAGCTCTCACATGTTCCCTATTGCTGCCAATAAGGCAAGTCTGATCATATAGAATAATATGAAATATTCTGAGATATCATGCTATTATTATGTCAGACTCCACACAAGTTCAAAGTCCTACTTTGCAGTTGGAGACCCTTAGCCATATGCACTGCGTAAAGGAGGTTATTGGAGGTCATAGAGGTCTGCTATTTCACACACTCTGTCCTCCTGACAGACAGTCCGTTTCCCTCTCCCTTCTGCTCTTAAACCTTCTGGTCATGGTCATGATATGACGGGACAGGGGGACAGCCAGGATAGGACAGGACAGATGCAAGGCCAGAGATTTGGACAATGGGAGAGAGGAGAGAAAGAACAAGTGAGAAAAAAGAAGGAGCAGGAAGTGCAGACGGTCATTGTATGAGGGGGAGTGAGGGATCACCTCTCACCTTTAATCTCTGACCCCTTACCCCTGACCCTGTCCTAGGAAAATGGTCGAAGTCGGGGAAGAGAGAGAGGGCGGGACACCGTACCGGGCAGGACAGATATGGAAGGAGAGAGAGAGGGGGGTGGTGTTTGGGGTGGAGGGTAAGATTGATGTGTCCCCAAAGAGAGAGGAGGGTGACCAGTCCCCACTCCCTGTCGTTTGTTACTACGGTTATTGGGTGAGTGGGGAGGGGGGGACAGTTGTTCTCGTCACAGCTGGGTGTCAGGCGGGTGGGGGACAGAGTTCAGGGGACACAGAGGGAGAGGGGACACAAAGGGTGCAGGGCCATTGTGTGATGACTACTTTCTCTGAATGGATCGCCGGTTATAATCATCCCCCTCATCCACTGCGGTCTTTGGGGTAGAACATTTTAATATAAAAAATTTGGAGAAGGTTGGAATCGTTGAAAGGCTTTAAAATGCAGATCCCACAGCTGCCGGCTTACTGAGGGGGTCTTTCTCACATTAGATATGAGTGTCAGAACCAAACAGCATACATTTCAGAAAGTAGAACATACACACACATATATATATATATATATATATATATATATATATATATATATATATATATATATACAAAAGTATGTGACAAACATTGGCAGTAGAATGGCCTTACTGAAGAGCTCAGTGACTTTCAACGTGACACTGTCATAGGATGCCACCTTTCCAACAAGTCAGTTCATAAAATTTCTGCCCTACTAGAGCTGCCCCGGTCAACAGTAAGTGCTGTTATTGTGAAGTGGAAACGTCTAGGAGCAACAATGGCTCATCCGCGAAGTGGTAGGCCACACAAGCTCACAGAACGGGACCGCGGAGTGCTGAAGCGCGTAGCTTCATGAAATGGGTTTCCATGGCCGAGCAGCCACACACAAGACTAAGATCACCATGCACAATGCCAAGCATCGGTTGGAGTGGTGTAAAGCTCGCTGCCATTGGACTCTGGAGCAGTGGAAACGTGTTCGCTGGAGTGATGAATCATGCTTCACCATCTGTCAGTCCGACGGATGAATCTGGGTTTGGTGGATGCCAGGAGAATGCTACCTGCCCCAATGCATAATCCCAACTGTAATGTTTGGTGGAGGAGGAATAATGGTCTGGGGCTGTTTTTCATGGTTCGTGTTAGGCCCCTTAGTTCCAGTGAAGGGAAATCTTAACACTAAAGCATACAATGACATTCTAGACGATTCTGTGCTTCCAACTTTGTGGCAACAGTTTCCTGTTTCAGCATGACAATGCCCCCGTGCACAAAGCGAGGTCCATACAGAAATGGTTTGTCAAGATCGGTGTGAAATAACTTGACTGGGCTGCACAGAGCCCTGACCTCAACCCCATCGAACACCTTTGGGATGAATTAGAACGCCAACTGCGAGCCAGGCCTAATCACCCAACATCAGTGCCTTACCTCACTAATGCTCTTGTGGCTGAATGGAAGCAAGTCCGCGCGGCAATGTTCCAACATCTAGTGGAAAGCCTGCCCAGAAGAGTGGAGGCTGTTACAGCAGCAAAGGGGGACCAACTCCATATTAATGCCCATGATTTTGAAATGAGATGTTTGACGAGCAGGTGTCCACATACTTTTGGTCATATAGTATACATATTTGGAAATGGGGCATTATTTAATGATTGTGTCACTTAAGCGACATCATTGGATTAGAAAACATAAATATCAGAATGTATATGTTCAAAAACATCACTTTCATACTTTGTAACCAGAATATAAAATATTTTATAAACATTCAAAATTGTGTCCATTATGTGAATATGTAATACAGATTCCAAAACTCCATTTACAAAATAAATTGTGTTAGAAATAGATTAGTTACCTTTTGATAAATATACTTCACAGATGAGGGTCATATCCAAGCCATATATGGTAATCTATATAGCTCTTAGTCACACTATCTATGAAACTATAACTAGTAACAACATAACATAAGTGATATGTTTCAAAATATAGTCCTACCACAAAAGACAAAAAGCTAAACAAAGGAAGGAAAGTGGTGAGGAATGACCCTGATGATGAAACTCAAAGTCAGGTCTAAGACCCTGCTAAAAGACTAATTGATCAATACGTGCTATGGATTGGCTTGATGTATGGTCACTGAAGCTGACAGTTAGGTTAGACCTCAGGAGAGAGACAGTTGATCAGCTGTAGGGGTGGACAGCAATTCTCCCTCCGAGTTGTTATAATTGCTGTAAATGTAATGTGGTTTGTCTCTTTACACACTGTCTCCTCATTCTTGCCCTTACAAGTGGGATATAACTACTGACCAAATGATAGTAAGAACTACTGACCAAATGATAGTAATAACTACTGACCAAATTACATGAATAACTGTTGACCAAATTACAGTAATAACTACTGACCAAATGCAATAGCTAATGAGTAATGTAGGATATATAACTAAATTGGGTAGATGTACTCTATGTATGCACTTAGTTCGATCTGACTCAGTGTTTGAACTAGTCCTGACCACTGACCAGTATCCAAGGTTATGAGCACTGTGTTCAGTGTAGAAGACACATCACAGATAAATGTGATTGATTTCATAAGCACTGTTTGATTCTGTGGAGATGGAGGAAAGTGAGAGCTCGGGAACCCTAGACCCAAAAGAGATCTATCCTAAACATAGGATATCCACTCAACCTTGACCAGGGACATTATAATTGGTCAGACTGATACATTTTTGTTTGGCACTGCTTGGCTCCACCTCCATGGTGTGAAACGAGCATGTAATAAAACCATGCACGCACACTCACACACACACGTGACACACACCCCCCTTGTGCTTCAGACGTCCATTCCAGTCGCCCCTCCCATTCAGTCCAACAATCGGCCCAATAATTATCCCTCACCAGCCCCCCCTGCCGTCATCATCTCCCCTAACCCTAAACACAAATGCAACTTATTCGCAGAACAACAACAGTCTGGGTGTATGAAAGCAGTGCATGCTGTCAACACCAATTATTCAATTATAGGTCATCAGGCTAGTGATATGATCTAGCAACTCTCAATTTCAAGTTGTTGTACATCATCCATTAGGGCTCCGTAAGAAATTGGTGAGAAATATAATGGCAAAAACATAGTGTAGACATATTTGAAGGCCATTAACCTAAAAGCTACAATGCTCAATGCTATAGCTGGCAATGCCTTAGATTTAATGACACACTCAACCAGGCAGCTACAGACTGGCTGAAGTGAACTTCAGATTAACTTCAATCAGTTCTCTTGCAATTCAATCTCTCTCAATGTCTCTCTATGTCCTCACATCTCCCTCAACATTCCTGTTACCGATTAAACAAACAAGCAAAAGACCAAAGACACTTTGACGGCTATTGCTCAACAACAACCCCTTCAAGCCTTTTATTGATCCAGGGGATCTATATTGGTGTCCTTTTAAAGAAATTGGGGCCCATCGGAGGGAAAGCAGCTTGGGGAATATAAAATCCATGCCTCCTCCATTGATTAATGGTCTTCTATTGAAATAGGTGTCTCTTTGACCCTTGACACCCCCCCCCCACATACCCTCCAGTACTCACAACCCCATCTCTCCATCCTTCCATCTCTCTCCCTTTCTTTCTTTCTCCATCTCTCTCTCTCTCTCTCTCTCTCTCTCTCTCTCTCTCTCTCTCTCTCTCTCTCTCTCTCTCTCTCTCTCTGCTCTCACACTCTACCTCCCCCTTATCTCCCTCCCTCTGTACCTCCCCCCTGGACCCTGTTTCTCTCTCTTCCCAGGCCCTGTCTCTCTGGGTCTCAGCCAGGGAGGAGTGAGGGCAGGGGCTCAGGGGGTGTTAGTGTCAATAGATCAATGAGATGCTTAGGGGGCAAGAGGGGCTGGGGGTCTCTACATATATGCATGTCCCATTGTGTGCTATTGAACCTGGTGTCAGGCAGGACGGTGAACCCCGCATCTGTCCCGGGGACACTGGCGGGCCAGGAAGGGTCAGAGGGGGATAGAGAAGTGGGGGTTAGGGTTATATTAGGCTGTCCTCTGGAAGTCTCTTCCTATGTTAAGTTCAAGCTCCGGTAAGAGGAGAGGAGGGGAAATCATTGGGAATGTTTGTATAGATCTGTTGGGGTAGATGTAGGGATGTTTGTATGTATTGATACACCTGCAATCGTTAACATTGAGGTATATGTAATGTGGGCAGCATGCTATAGGCTTCTATAACTAGGGACAAAGTGTTTCCTGGTCAGGTCACATGGTCAGGACAAACTCAGGGACTTACTGTGCATTTAGATTTTAGAGCTATGTTTCTATCAGGTCAGATGACACTGTATAAAACTATATGGTCTAGAGATATGTTCAAATCAAATTAACTTCTGAAGGTCCTTACTATAAGGACAGCAATGGTCATAACCACCTTTATATGAAAGTACAGCTGCCCAAAAACATGCACAGTTCTGTCCTCTATAGTTCATTATAAGAATGACAGCACATAGAATTCAATGCTCTCCCCCAAAAGGCCTTGTCATTCTAATCAATACCTTTCTTCTTCTCTCTCCGTTTACCCTCAACATCTTTCTTCTAATGTCATCCTCCTCTTTCATTCATCCTCCTTTTCTATACAACTGTTCTCCTGCGTTCTTTCTATTTATCCCTCCACTTATCACTAGCCTGCTTACTTTCCTCTCTTCTCCTCTCCTCTCGTATTGTCCTCCATCCATTCTCCTCATCTCCACCACCTCCCCTCTTGACTTTTTGAAAGTATATTTTACTTTCATGCAGTTACATAGTATCACAAGCAAATGCAATTGTAGATGTAATTTACCCCACAGTGATACAAGGATTAATCACTTACATATACAATACGCTTACAACAAATACATAATTCTCTCCCCACCAGCTCCTCCTGAGTTCATGCAGTGGCCGCAGTCTGTCTCGAAACCAGCGGGGAGCAGTGCTGTATTCACCTGTGTGGCCCAGGGCGTCCCCGAGCCTCACCTCATCTGGCTGAAGAATGGCAAGATCCTGACGCCCGGCGACAACGTCAAGCTCACCAACAACAACAGGTACTGTACACCAGAGGTGTATTCATTCCGCCGATTCGATTGCAAAACATTTCTTAAACGGAAGCAAACGGAACGAAACGGGACCTACCTGAATTTGTCCAATAGAAACTCTTGTTTTGCTCTTTACTTCCATTTGGTTCTTAAACAGTAATGAATACACGTCTTGGTTTACATTTAAGCATACACTTTTATGATAAGTCTTATCTATAGCAACTTACGCCTACAGTCAGTGCATTCAACTTAAGTAGGTAAAATAAACATATCAAAATCATTGCAAGTAAAACGTAAAATAGACGCTAAATCTGCCAAATTAGCGTTTCCCCTAGGGGGGTTGCAAAAAAAAAACAAAGCAACATCCAAGGTTGTCCATTGAAAGCAGAAACTAACCCCTTTAGTCGGGCAGCAACAGAGATTATTTTGTTATTCCCACATATTAGCAGTTGATATAGGCTAAAGTCCATAACAGAAATTGTGAAATAGTTGTGAAATCAATTTAGAAATAATGTCTAGAGGGTTGATCTTTTTTTTAATGGTGGCTGAAATCTCCCTCTGTTGAGGAGGCTGAAGCTCTGTATTTACACTGAACAAGAGAGGATGGGAATCATTTGCTGCCTGATTATGTTTTCAATCACAAAGAATTCCATTGTATATCTGAATATTTGTTTGTATACATACAACCAACCCATCTTTATGTTGTTTACCCAATATATCAATGTTTTAATCTGTCCTAACTCAAATAAACAATAACAAAAATGATCTCATCTTTAATCTCCATCATCCAGCACCCTGGCCATGACGCGCATCACCTCGGAGGATGAGGCCATCTACCAGTGCATCGCTGAGAACATGGCCGGCACCAACCAGGCTAGCGCCCGTCTGGCCGTGTCCCTGGCCAAGGATCTCCCCGACTCCCCACAGGGCCTCACGGCCACCGCCCTCTCCCCCAGCGCCCTGCAGCTCGCCTGGATCCAACCGCCCGCCGAGATCACCGACAGCATCATCGGCTATGTGCTTCACAGCCGCAAGATCGGCGGTGAGTGAGAGTCTTTGTGTGATAATCTATCAGCGTTCAAAGCAGAGCTAAGACTAAACTCTTTCTTAATTGCCTTAATTGTCCTCTCCTAGCCTCCTCTCCTTCATTGTACTGATCTAAAAGAACTGGCCTAATGATGAGTTTACTAAGGACATATTTTTAAGCAATTGAGATAGCATTTTGTTTTCTTTCAAATACTTTAGTTGCACTTGACTGAGTGTGCCTGCTGGAATGGAACCTAACCCTAATTTATATTTATTCTGCCACAACAACTAATGATAATACTGCTTGTTGTTCCCCCCAGAGCCGGACAGCAGAGAGCTGCAGGAGGCAGTCAGTAAAACCACCTTCCAGCACGACTTTATCAACCTGGAGCCAGCCACCACCTACTCCATCTACCTCAAGGCCTACTCCTCACTGGGCGCCAGCCAGCAGTCCAGCACTGTGGTAGCCACAACACTAGGGGGCGGTAAGTCACCAGGAACATGTTAATGCCACGATCAGTTTACCCTCCCCAAAACCTAACCATAACCATTTCCCTGTGGGCAACATAAAGAGTTACACTTTATAATTACTTTCAAGAATAACCATTTATAAACTATGTATGAATAGTGTAGTATTATACTTATAGTGTACATATATTATTAATAAATTAGCCTTATAAATGTACTCACATTTATAAGCATTCCTAAACATTTATAAGCATAAATAATGTCATATTTATGAACGTTATAATTAAATGTAACCAAATAAATGGATTCTATTCTATTATGGGGGAAAATGTAAAGCTGACCTAGGATCAGTGTCTAGTGGCTACTTCACTCTACCCCACATACAGTAGCTCCATGTACAGTATATTGCAGAAAGAGGACAGCAGAGTGCTTTAGAGTGATGTAGCTAGACTAGTGTAAGAGAATATGGGCAGTGTAATATGTAACTTGGTTATTTACAACCTGTGATCAATTGAAGGTGTTTATCTCCTCTTCCCTCACTTGATTTCATCACATCCCACTTTTCTCGTCTCTTCTCTCCATCTCTGTGCACTTATGTCAATCCCCATATACTATTCCACTCATCTTCCGTCACTGATAAACACTCCCTTGTTTTCCCTCCCTGTCTTACTATCTCTTTGAGTTTTATCATCATTTCATCCTCACCCTTCTCTTTCTCTCTCTCTCCAAATGTCTTCAATTCATACACCCTCTTTTTCATACTGCCTCTCTAACCATCTCTACACTATTTCTATCTTTTTGCTGTCCTTTCCCATCATATTTAACTTTTTTTTTTTTTTTTTTTTTACATCCAATGTCCTAATCTCCATCTCTACTCCTGTAGTGCCCACCCCCCCTTCCTTCTTCACCAAGGTGGTGAACTCCACTGCGGTCCAGGTGTTATGGGAGCTCCCCAGCAAGCCTGGTAAGGCAGAGGGCTTCAGGCTCACCTACCGCAGGGTCCCCCACACCGACTTCCAGGGGCCAGTTCAGTTCCCCTGCCACATCAATGCCCACACCATCTCCCGTCTTGGTGAGTGAGTGAGTGAGTGAGTGAGTGAGTGAGTGAGTGAGTGAGTGAGTGAGTGAGTGAGTGAGTGAGTGAGTGAGTGAGTGAGTGAGTGAGAAGGAACGATACCACCTCCAGAGACTGTGTATTATTAGTTTGTTTTTATTTGTCTTGGACACTGGAAAGAATCAGTTAATATAGTAATGTAATTACCTTTTATAATATTTGGTGCACTGTTCCTACCACATTAGTCTATGTAATAATAATGATGGAAGGCTGGAATAATAAGAGAGTGAGGAAAGAACTATAAATAGACCAAGAAAATACAGGAACCCATTTACATTTGAGTCATTTAGCAGACTGTCTTATCCTGGAATGAAAAACAAATAAGCACGCCTGGGGTAAATATGTACTCTCTCCTATGTTATTAGAAAAAGCAATCACGTAGAAAATAAAATAATTAGAGGGTTTGAAAGTCGTAATTACATGAGCATGACAAGGGCTTTAAAATCGACCTGATATTGGTGTTTAAAAATATATATTTGATATAAAGTTATTATAATATTATGTTCATGTTAAGATTACATTTATTATATTTTATGTTATAAAATATTAATATATTTAATGATTAAATGATTACAATTTAAATGATTTTAAAATAATTCAAATAAGTTGTATTTACCCCTGGTGAAATACAGCTATTGTAATTGCTTTTCCCTGATAGCTGTCTTTTTATCCACCCCCCTCTGGTCCAAGCTTTCATGTGTGGAAATCAGTCCTATACTCCTGCACTGCTACCACATGTTGTTGTCTTATAACTGAATTGCAGAAAATTCAGAAAAAGATGTAATGTACGAAATGTGACATTGATTTTCCAATGAGGCTAGCTTTAGGCCAGAGCTGGCTTTAAAAGGTTGCAGTGGTGCAGAGAATAACAATTACCCCATATTTGAATGAATATGTGACATAGAGTTAATTATCATGCACATGGAAGAGAAACTTAATATCCCTCTGGAGCACAAAAATGTGAAAGGGAGATCTTTAAAAGTTTTTTTTTTCTTACATGTTTTGCTGTATTAAAAAATAAATAAATAAACATTGTAAAATGTAAAGCCACCTAGTGGAAAATGACTGGATGGGTTGGTGTCATTGCATTCAGAGCATAAGCTTTCTCATACTGTAGCAATGACTCAATCAATATCGAGAGATTAAAAGAGGGAGACATGGGAGGATGTTGGAGGTATCGAGATAGAGATGCCAGAGAGAGATGGCAGAGTGAGAGAGTTGAGAGGAAAGGTAAGTGGGTTAGGGAGGGATGGAGGGAGGGAGTAGGGAAAGGAACAGTCCAGGCAAGAGGAGTGAAAAATGACATGCTCCCCAACTTCAATCGCCCAATCAATAGCTTTGCTTTTACCAAGCAAGCAGTCAACAAAACTGAGTCAATATCTCTCCATTTAAAAAATATGACCTTCGAAGTTGTCAATGGGAACTTATAATGTGATACTGTCACCTTATGACTTGTTCTTGCAGAAACCGGCGCAGTGTATGAAGTCAATCTAGTGGCCTATAACGGGAACGGCGAGAGCGGTTGCTCCAAGAGGCTGGTGTCACTGGCAGAAGAGGGTACCAGCGCCAAAACCAGTGGTGAGTGTCCAATAAATATTAGAGTCAAGTCAGTATTGAGTAGTAAATAATATTTTCTAGACAAGTATTAGTTATTTGGTGATGTTCTGTCCTTTTTGCTTCAAGTCTATTTTTCAGTGAATCTATTAGTTAGCTTTTTTGGCATTGCCATATGATCCAATATGTATTTCCGTATGTGACTGTGTATTTGTGCTGGTTGTATGGATGTACTCATCATGTGTTTCTTGGTTGCAGGTGGGGAGACCCAGTGTAACTGTAGACAGGAGGGCGAGGGCTCGATGGGCGGTATCGTGGTTGGCATTCATATCGGCATGGCTTGCATCATCTTCTGTGTGCTCTTCCTCATGTTTGGATACCGTCGCAGGTAAGGAGGGGCCCTATCTGATGGGACCCACTAACTGTTGCTTTGCTTCTAGTACTGTACTTTCAGATTGGGTTTTTAAGGTCAGGTAAACTTTAGATATATCCTGATCACCCATGATTTATCTTGGCAGAGTGAGATAATGAATGTTAACTTTGGTATATTACATGTTAGTTGTATTCGTAAAGTTGTGTGTTGTTTTTAGAGTGGACTTGTGTGCGTGTAATATTGAAACATGTATTAATGTCCCCAGTCTGTTCTGCAGTAAAGGGACTCAGGACAGCTGGTCTGTGCCAAGGGGGGAGGACCGGGGACACCTGGGACAAAACGGGATCCCCAAAGAGAGGGTCACTCGTTCGGCAGAAGTCGCCCTCGAATTAGTGCCTCAGGTAGGAGGACCGGTGCACTGACACATTGACAGACTAACCTGACTCATTCACTACACAGAAAACGCTAAGCTAACCTCTCACACAATGTGGCCATTAGTTTTGTTTTCATCCCTGTAACAGCAGGTGACTGAATAGATATCACCATCTTATAATTGAATCATCAATGACATCAGAGCTGCAGGATATGGGTTGCCAGGACACACGCATTGACGTCACAGTAGTTTGGCCTCCAGGTGTAACTTAGTTTCTAAAACAAAGTTGACACCTTCAGGACATCTCGAGTTGCCGATATTTCAGAATTAATTGATCTATTATGCTCGTAATCCTGTCTCTCTGTTGTCACAAGCTCATCCAACTATTCGATCTGAGATCTAGATCTCATCCATCTGTGATTTCTGACCCCATGATACTGTAGATTATAAGCCTCAGGGCTCTAGTCAATCAAACCTGGATTTGTTACCACTGAATGAAACATTGTTACCACGTCAAGCAAAATGGATATTACTTCAAAGTGTTCTAGAGACTAGGGTGGGTTTTTCGAAAGCTTTGGGGCTAACGTGGCACTCAATTTTTTTATTTGATTGAATTGGATCCTCAGAGCTGTGTTGAACAACATCGATGTTACTATGTCCAGGGGTGGAAATGATGAACAAGATGATTGGTCAACAACAACGCAGAAGTAATCATCAGTGGACAAAAGGAGGGATATGATCGAAGTTGCTAAATTATAGACTCTGACACTCCGTCTTTTGTCTCTTTCTTTTCCAGAGTCAAGACTCCACATCTCAGGGAGGGGCTGTAGTGCGTCCAGCCCAATGCCAGGTCCTCATCGAGCAGCACTTGTCTGGTCTGCCTGGGACGGACACTGGCTAACACTGGCCAATAACCCCCCAAACCCCTCTTTACCAACCCTTACCCACCCTCCACCCAACGATTTGCCTCTTGATGGTTCCTCCACCTAGCCTGCCCAAACAAAGCCCACCCGCCTGCCACCCTAGTGTCCAGGGGTCCGCCAGGGGTCCGCCATAGTTCTAGCCGTCCCCGAAAAACCTGCTGATACTAACAAACAAAGGCTCAAAGTAGCTGAGTGACACAATGCTCCATGTGTCCACTGTACTCTCTCGCCTTCCCTCATTTCTCTTAAACCAAAGTCTAATGCCTTTATGTTCGGTGCACATGCACATGTGACTGCAGAATGCTAGCCTTGAGAAATACCTCCACTGACAGATGCTGTCCTATTATGTTGGGCTTTCTTATGTTACCAAGGGGAGCATCTATAACCAAAATGTTATCTTTCAATGGCATCCCCTTGGTAACAGTACATGCACTTGCACTGTGCTTATCTCTAGGAACTCTATATACAGTGGGGAGAACAAGTATTTGATACACTGCCGATTTAGCAGGTTTTCCTATTTACAAAGCATGTAGAGGTCTGTAATTTTTATCATAGGTACACTTCAACTGTGAGAGGCAGAATCTAAAACAAAAATCCAGAAAATCACGTTGTATGATTTTTAAGTAATTAATTTGCATTTTATTGCATGACATAAGTATTTAATACATCAGAAAAGCAGAACTTAATATTTGCTACAGAAACCTTTGTTTGCAATTACAGAGATCATACGTTTCCTGTAGGTCTTGACCAGGTTTGCACACACTGCAGCAGGGATTTTGGCCCACTCCTCCATACAGACCTTCTCCAGATCCTTCAGGTTTCGGGGCTGTCGCTGGGCAATACGGACTTTCAGCTCCCTCCAAAGATGTTCTATTGGGTTCAGGTCTGGAGACTGGCTAGGCCACTCCAGGACCTTGAGATGCTTCTTACGGAGCCACTCCTTAGTTGCCCTGGCTGTGTGTTTCGGGTCGTTGTCATGCTGGAAGACCCAGCCACGACCCATCTTCAATGCTCTTACTGAGGGAAGGAGGTTGTTGGCCAAGATCTCGCGATACATGGCCCCATCCATCCTCCCCTCAATACGGTGCAGTTGTCCTGTCCCCTTTGCAGAAAAGCATCCCCAAAGAATGATGTTTCCACCTCCATGCTTCACGGTTGGGATGGTGTTCTTGAGGTTGTACTCATCCTTCGTCTTCCTCCAAACACGGCGAGTGGAGTTTAGACCAAAAAGCTCTATTTTTGTCTCATCAGACCACATGACCTTCTCCCATTACTCCTCTGGATCATCCAGATGGTCATTGGCAAACTTCAGACGGGCCTGGACATGCGCTGGCTTGAGCAGGGGGACCTTGCGTGCGCTGCAGGATTTTAATCCATGACGGCGTGGTGTGTTACTAATGGTTTTCTTTGAGACTGTGGTCCCAGCTCTCTTCAGGTCATTGACCAGGTTCTGCCGTGTAGTTCTGGGCTGATCCCTCACCTTCCTCATGATCATTGATGCCCCACGAGGTGAGATCTTGCATGGAGCCCCAGACCGAGGGTGATTGACCGTCATCTTGAACTTCTTCCATTTTCTAATAATTGCGCCAACAGTTGTTGCCTTCTCACCAAGCTGCTTGCCTATTGTCCTGTAGCCCATCCCAGCCTTGTGCAGGTCTACAATTTTATCCCTGATGTCCTTACACAGCTCTCTGGTCTTGGCCATTGTGGAGAGGTTGGAGTCTGTTTGATTGAGTGTGTGGACAGGTGTCTTTTATACAGGTAACGAGTTCAAACAGGTGCAGTTAATACAGGTAATGAGTGGAGAACAGGAGGGCTTCTTAAAGAAAAACAAACAGGTCTGTGAGAGCCGGAATTCTTACTGGTTGGTAGGTGATCAAATACTTATGTCATGCAATAAAATGCAAATGAATTACTTAAAAATCATACAATGTGATTTTCTGGATTTTTGTTTTAGATTCCGTCTCTCACAGTTGAAGTGTACCTATGATAAAAATTACAGACCTTTACATGCTTTGTAAGTAGGAAAACCTGCAAAATCGGCAGTGTATCAAATACTTGTTCTCCCCATTGTACGTTCCGGTCCACTTAGGAAATGTTTGCACTTAGTGTACTAAACTCCACTGAGAATTCCTGCTAACTTCCTGTCAGAGGGAACAGTCGATTTTTGTTTGCCTTTGATTAGCCTAAACTCTGCAATACATAACAGACACAAATGACGACGCAGCCTTGTTAATAGCCTTATGGAGGTATGAGTCTGATTGAGTTGATTGTCTTTATCACCGTACTAGCCTCGAGACAGGTCGAGGTCCGGAGGAACCGTAAAAGGCAACCCCCCTACCGTCCCTCCCGCCCCTCTTTACCCAAACCACTCTAACCAAAATCTGCCTCCAAAGATAGCTACCTCAGTCTGATGCGATTGTCCGAGCCACAGTTAAGGCAAATGTTAGCCTTCTGGATGCTTCTTGAGCAAGCCTAACTCAGAACCCAAAAATAAACCCTATACCCTCACTCTTTGTGCCAATGCCAGTGTCCCGTGCCAGCCACCACCCCGTGTCAGGGTACCCACCTGGATGACTGCCATGGCGAGCCAAACCGTGGCAGTATCTGAGCGTCACCATCCCCCATCCCCCATCCCCTGTCCACTCTGCACTTGCCTTAGCCAAACCCATTTCGTCCTTTGTCACAAGCACAAGCCTTTGTCCTTGCCAGGGACCTCCTTAGACAGAACTCTGTCTGGTTCAAAGCCTGAGGGGGTCCAACAGGTTTGGTGATTTTCCTTCAATTTCCTTCAAGATGCAGGGATGCCTTTTTAAGTGTTTGGTGATCATACATGTGACAACTCCTCCTATGTTGTACAAATGTCCATCTCCAAAGACGTATTTGTGATGGGATGGTACCTTATGGAAAACATGGACCTGAAAGAACGTATCTACGATCCTTTGCCCCGTTCAGAAAGGAAATGAGATGTGCTCTGGCCTTTTTCATAGAGTCCTCCAAAAAAAAACAAGAAGTGGTCATCCTTAGAAAATATTAAAGTCACTTGCTTGTTTTGTCCACACAAAGCTGATGGCATTCCCCAAAGCCAAACAGGTGATTGTTCTAGGCCATGCTGATTGGTTGGCTCTCCAGATGCCAAATCAGTTGCCATGGGAATTTGCGGGTGCTGTGAGTTGACGGCTGAAAATGTTGTTTCCAGGGAGATTCATGGAGATCCTGACCTGGAACGCACGGACACGGCACTAGTTTCCACTGTAAAACACCTCGTCAGCCTATCCCAAAAAGTTTTTATATGAAAACCAAACTGAATGATATCCAAAGATGTACAATTTGTAATGGTTATCGTTTTTTTCCTTCATAACCTTCTTTTAAGAGATAAACTACGCCATTGTTTTCAGATTTTCGTTGTTCCTGTTTTAAGGGGTAGCCAGTATGAAAAGTGCTTTAACTGAACCTAAGCCAAAAACATTCATTTTGATTGAATTGCTATTATAGAATACGTGAATTAGCATTGTTTAAGTCCTTTTGTGTGGCTTTCTTGGCTTGCCCCTTTTGACATGGAACTGTCACATTTAGTTGAATATAACTTTTAACTTTTAAAAAGTAACCAAATGAAAATGGGATATATTTTCAAGGAGATGTTCTATGTTGATACACAATGGAGTACTTGCTTTCTCATTCTAATAGTAGCGTTGAAATTGCCAAATAACTAGCTGTCTTATGAAAAATACTGTTGTGACCAAATACCTTTTACATATTTTAACATTTACAGTCTTTACCTTTTATGACACTTACTCATGACCAAAGCACAAGATCATCCATGTATGTATGACAGTATGTTTATGTGTGATCTCTGTGACAGTTTGTGAACCTTGAGGGCAAAAGATGCCTACAGGAACCATCTAAAACAGCTTTAAATTGTTAACAGAATATGACCGGATAAACCAAAGAACATAACTATTTTAGGGCTCACACTTGGTTGTATTAAACTGAATGTAACTGAACTGTTATTAAAGTCTTTACCAGGGTATCTTTGTACAAAATAAAAACAGTTGTATAGGCCCACAGTGGCTCCCATATTCCAAGGAAAAAGGACCAAAATAGGTGGGTTTCTAATAAAGCTCTACAGTCCTCAAGATTAATGTCAAACCCCTAAGGAGTGTTAAAGGTTTACGCAAAAACACTTCAGTATAAAAGTCTGACAAAGACTTTTACGCCCATCCTCGTTTATATATGAAAGGGGTGAAACGAATGTGATACCAAAAGAAAAAAAGTGTTGTGATATGGGATTTTTTGTGTGAAGTTGTGTAGTGGTAAAGCTAGATTTCTCATTTTTTAAATACAAACTGCTGGTTCTTTTTTTAGAACTTAATTTCTCCTCCTCAACATTTTGTTCTTACTGCTGTGGACAGAAAAAGATGCCAAAACGAAGACTTTATGTTATTATTTTTTAAATGTTATTATTATTATTAATAATATTAATATTATTGCTGTTTTATTTTAACCTAAACCCTTATTTCCCAAAAATGTTGTTTGTAGAAATGTAAGGATGATGTGAAAATGTTTGTTAGAAATTAGAGAAAAATATGGACACGTGTTGGGTCTTGGGCAAGAAGGTGGGATTTTGGTGAGAAGACACTTTAATGATAAGGTGTACCCAAACAGAGCATTTAAATGTATTCAAGCTTTTCCTGGCATCAAAGCCTTACAAAGTGATACTCATCTGCCCACAAGGCCCATCAGATAGAAAAATTAGAAAACAAATGTAGAGAACTAGAAACTGATTGCTAGAAAAAAACAATGCTTTAATCTGTGTTTTTTTTGGCTTTCTGAAACCCTGAAACCCTTGTGAGTATATAATATGAAACTGAAAACCCTAAAGTTTTAACTGTTTAGAGATGAGGATGTGTTCTAGTCTCAGGGCCATAAAATAAATAAATAAATGAAGTAAGTGAGACTGACATAATGTGTTTGAAAG